ACTGGCACGGCACGGGTGGTGCTTTTCCACTGGCCGCACCCGAGCCGAGCCGACTCATGGTGGGCTACCCTGGCACGGCACGGGTGGTGCTTTTCCACTGGCCGCACCCGAGCCAAGCTAGCGCACCAGGGGGGGCTACCCTGGCACCTAACTCATTTGAGGCCGAGTCGATCTAGAGCGAGGCCCAGGACCGGTTCAGATAATCGCCGTCACTGGTTCTTAGCCCCGAGCGGGAATCGAACCCGGGTCGCCGGGTTCATAGCACAGCGTAGTGCTAACCCCTACGCTACCGCCCCCCACCCACCACCACGCACACACGGACACCACCACGCACCACCTACACACACTACACAAAGACAAAGATCCCCCGTATAGCCTGTAACAGACTGTTGGGGCAAGTGTTGTTAGCGAGCACCTTTAAAGGCTACTGGAACTGTGGCACACGAGGGGGGTGGGTGGCCAGCACCACGCCCGACCGTTTTTGTCTCCCCAGTGGCGATGTTTACACACCGTACCAGGAACTCATTTGAGGCTGAGTCGACCTAGGGGAGGCCCACGACCGGTTCAGATAATCGTCACTACTGGGTGTTGGTGGCCGTGAGCAGAAATCGAACTCGGGTCGCTGGGTTCGTAGCGCTAACCACTACACCACCGCTCCACACACACCACCCACTCACACACCTATATTAGCCACTCACCCACCCACCCTACTGACCCACTCACTCATCCACTCATCCACCCACCCCCTCCACCACCACCACCACCTCCTCCACCACCACCACCTCCACCACCACCTCCACCACCACCTCCACCACCACCACCTTCACCACCACCACCACCTCCACTACCACCACCACCACCACCTCCTCCACCACCAACAACCACCATTCGCCACTAAGTGGCGGTGACGTCACCACGATGCTTGTGCCAGGCCATGTGCACCTTGAGGCCACGTGAAGTGTCGAACGCCCGCTGGCAGGTCACGGGGCAGACCCAGGTGCCACGGGTTGACTGAGATGACTGGCTGATGCACCACCTGTGCCCCCTACTGTGCCAACCTGCTGTGCTTTAGCCACCTGGCGCTCCGCTCATTGTGAGCGTCGCTTCTCCGCCCTCCGTTGTTGTTGCTGGAGGGCGACTGCCTCCAACTGCCCAGTAGCCTCAAGGTGCACCTAGCCTGGCACTGCCCAGTAGCAGTGTCCTTCGCGAGCCTCCTCCTCCACAGAGGCCGATCTTGACACCGCTGGTACCGGTCATCGGCAAGTCCATTCAGCTCTACATCCTCCTGTACCACATCACTCCATCTCTTCTCTAGCCCGTGCCGAGCGCATTTAGCCCCCTCGATCCGGCCGAACAAAAGCTGTTTCGGCATGCGGTGGCTAGGCATGCGGGCTACATGACCCAGCCAACGCAGCCTTGCCTGCCGGAGGAGCTCACCGATGGGACTTTGGCCAGATCTTTCAAGGATTTGTGAGCTCCTCACACAATCCAGCCTGCATGTTAAACCCAGGATGGATCATAGCCAGGGCCGGCGCTGAATGTTTCTAACCGGCTAAGATGTTCCATTGGGGGGGGGGGGGGGGAGATCACCTTTCGCAAGCGTAGATAAGGGAGGGCATGACCGTGGCCGAGAAGACCCGAAGCTTCGTGTGGAGCGACAGACCAGGCAGCTTCCACACAGCAGCAGCAGCGTTCGGCAGCCGATGAGAAGATATTGCCGCTCGACTGATTGGGAGTGAGACCTCTGCTGTCAAACCGGAGCCGGTCATGAGCACACTGCCCAGGTATGGAAAACTCTCCACTCTCCTCCACAACTGCCCCATCACCACCAGCACCACCACCTTCACCACTCAGCCACTCCACCCACTTACCTCACTCCACCCACTCACACACACTCATTGACTCACCCACCCACTCATTCACTCACCCACTCATTCATTCATTCACTCACCCACTCATTCAATCACTCACCCACTCGCACTCACCCACCCACTCACACTCATTCACTCACCCACGCATTCATTAACTCACCCACTCACTCGCACTCACCAACCCACCCCAAACACTCACTCACTCAGTGAGTGAGTGGGTGAGTAGGTGGATGTGTGAGGAGGTGGGTGAGTGGGTGGGTGTGTGCGAGTGAATGAGTGGGTGGGTGTGTGAGTGGGTGGGTGAGTGGGTGGGTGAGTGAGAGTGTGTATGTGAGTGAATGAGTGGGTGGGTGTGTGAGTAGGTGGGTGAGTGGGTGTGTGTGAGTGAATGAGTGGGTGGGTGTGTGAGTAGGTGGGTGAGAGTGTGTGTGTGAGTGGGTGTGTGTGTGAGTGAATGAGTGGGTGGGTGAGAGTGTGTGAGTGGATGTGTGTGTGTGAGTGAATGAGTGGGTGTGTGAGTAGGTGGGTGAGTGGGTGTGTGTGAGTGAATGAGTGGGTGGGTGTGTGAGTGGGTGTGTGAGTAGGTGGGTGAGAGTGTGTGTGTGGGTGTGTGTGAGTGAATGAGTCTAAATAAATATTCCGACACTGACGTCTGTGACAAAGAGCTTCATAGCTCATAGGATTTCCTCCACGAATACATATCGATACAGTGACAAGACAAAGATCCCCCGTGTAGCCTGTAACAGACTGTTGGGGCAAGTGCTCTTAGCCAGCAGCAGCACCACCTCATGAAGGCTACGGACGCTGTGGCACACACAGAGGGGGTGGGTGGCCAGCACCACGCCCGGCCGCCTTTGTCTCTCCCCAGTGGCGATGCCGTTACTACCACACACCGCACCGGGTAAACTCGTTTAAGGCTGAGGCGACCTAACCGCTGCACCACCGCTCCTGGAGCTGGAGGTAAAACCTCCGCTCTGGCATAAGTGGCGGAGGGGAGGAGCAAAGGGTGGCAAGGGAGGGGTGAGGGAGGGGCGAAGGGTGGCGAGGGAGGGGTGAGGGAGGGGCGAAGGGTGGCGAGGGAGGGGCGTGGAGAGGGGCATGGGGAGGGGGCGAGGGCGGGGCGAGTGGAGGGCGAAGGGAGGGGCGTGGAGAGGGGTGAGAGGGTGGCGAGGGAGGGGCGTGGAGAGGGGTGTGGAGAGGGGCGAGGGAGGGGCGTGCAGAGGGGCGAGGGAGGGGCGAGGGAGGGGCGTGGAGAGAGGCGAGGGAGGGGCGTGGAGAGGGGTGAGGGAGGGGCATGGGGAGGGGCGTGGAGAGGGGCGAGGGAGGGGCGTGGAGAGGGGCGTGGGGAGGGGCGTACAGAGGGGCGAGGGAGGGGCGTGGGGAGGGGCGAGAGAGGGGCGAGTTTTCAGTTTCATTAATTAGGTAAAGATCCCTGTGAACCATTCGGCTCTTGAATCGGGTGCAACCGCAACAAGCAAAACACTAAAACGTGAACAAGAAAACATCTTAAAGTGACGATGTTACTTCGTGCAAACAGAAAATCCAAGAAAAAACAGCAAAATATTGCAGAAAAAGCACCGTACACCAACGCTGTGTGCAAAAAATCCCAGTGGGATGCAAGTCAAACAACAACAACAACAACCACGAGACAACTTAGATTAAGGCCATCAGTCTACCTCGGTACTACAACAAACAAACATGGCCAAACCAAAAAAACGTTTTCGAAGTCACCAAAATAAAACTGTGACCGAATTTTCACAATAAACGACATCAACAACATTTACCACCAAACCCTGCAGCCATAGCTGGCTTGCATGAGTCACTCCACAACAGGAGGGGCGTGGGGAGGAGGGGCGTGGGGAGGGGCGTGAAGAGGGGCGTGGGGAGGGGCGTGGAGAGAGGCGTGGGGAGGGGCGTGGGGAGGGGCGTGGAGGAGGGGCGTGGGGAGGGGCGTGAAGAGGAGGGGCGTGGGGAGGGCGTGAAGAGGAGGATGGGCGTGGGGAGGGGCGTGGGGAGGGGTGAAGAGAGGGGCGAAGTGAGGGGCGTGGAGAGGAAGGAGGGGCGTGGGGAGGGGCGTGGAGAGGAGGGGCGTGGGGATGGGCGTGGAGAGGAGGGGCGTGGGGAGGCGCGTGGGGAGGGGTGAATTGAGGGGCGTGGAGAGGAAGGAGGGGCGTGGCGAGGGGCGTGGGGAGGGGCTTCAAGAGGGGCGTGGGGAGACGCGAAGGGAGGGTCGAGGGGGAGGAGCTTCCCCCCCACACAGACTCCGCCCCTCCACCCCGCCCCCCTCCCACCGTTTAAACCCCTCCAGCCCAGAGTAGTCGATTGCCGACATCAACCCAATTAGCCATCCCTTCGCACTCCCCCTCCTTTGAGTAACCTCACAAACTCTACACTCTGTGGGTCTTTCGCTAAAGTCACGTAGATAGGTTCAAATAAAAACAACAACAACAACAAAAACCGTCGACGTGGACTTTACAGAAAGGCCCACAGAGTCTGAATTCCTGCAGTCACGAAAGCTTTAAGTCGAGATTTACCTTACAAACTACTTTGACCATCTTATTAATCTATTGATAATCGATTAATAATAATCGACTGTCTCGATCCGCCTCCTTATCGCTCGATTACTCTCCCCTTGACACCTCCACCCCACCCCCCCCAAATAATCGATTAATACTAATCGATGAATAAAAATCGACTGTCTCGATCCTCCCCTTATCGCTCGATTACTCTCCCCTTGCCACCCCCCATAATCGATTAATAAAAATCGACTGTCTCGATCCGCCCCTTATCGCTCGATTACTCTCCCCTTGCCACCTCCACCCCCCCCCCCCAAATAATCGATTAATACTAATCGATGAATAAAAATCGACTGTCTCGATCCGCCCCTTAACGCTCGATTACTCTCCCCTTGTCACCTCCCCCCCCCCATAATCGATTAATACTAAACGATTAATAAAAATCGACTGTCACGATCCGCCCCTTGTCGCTCGATTACTCTCCCCTTGCCACCTCCCCCCCCATAATCGATTAATAATAATCGATTACTACTAATCGACTGTCTCGATCCGTCCCTTATCGCTCGATTGCTCTCCCCTTGCCACCTCCCCCCACGTGGTCCACTTATTTATTTATTTATTCCCTCGCTCCCGCCCCTCCGTCTCCCGCCACTCGCCTCCTCCTCCGCCTCCGACGACGAAGACGACGGCGACGATGATGGAGCTCGAGGCGGTGCTGCTGCAGCTGCTGGTGCCCGACAACGCCGTCATCCAGCAGGTTCGAGTTAAAGAAATCATCATTACCTCATCATCATTACCTCATCATTACCTAATAATCATCATTACCTCACAATCATCACCTCATCATCATTACCTCATAATCATCACCTCATAATCATCACATCATCATCATTACCTCATAATCATCACATCATCACCTCATCATTACCTCATAATCATCACATCATCATTACCTCATAATCATCATCACATCATCATTACCTCATCATCATCACCTCATCATCATCACCTCATAATCATCACATCATCACCTCATAATCATCACCTCACCATCATCATTACATCATCACCTCATCATCACATCATCACCTCATCATCATCACCTCATCGTCCGTCGTCACCGAAGCGGAGGGATTTTTTTTCTCCCGCCAAAGCCACGTGGGGGTGGGGGATGAGGGTGGGGGGGATGTTGGGGGAGGAGTCGACCGACCCGGTTTGTATTTCGTAGCGCGGATAGGCGAAGGCGGCCAATGGAGCGCGAGATTCGATCGGCGGTTCGTGTCCGCGTTGGCCAATGGGGAGGCGTGATAGGGTGGCCACGCCCCCACGCTAGCAGGCCCGCCCCCAGCCAAAGCGCAAGCGTAGTGCGATTTGTAGTTGCGTGGTCGGTCAACGTTATAACTTGTCAACGTAATAACTTGTCAATGTAATGACTTGTCAATGTAATGACTTGTCAATGTAATGACTTGTCAATGTAATAACTTGTCAATGTAATGACTTGTCAATGTAATAACTTGTCAACGTAATGACTTGTCAACGTTCTAACTTGTCAACGTAATAACTTGTCAATGTAATGACTTGTCAACGTAATGACTTGTCAACGTAATAACTTGTCAATGTAATGACTTGTCAACGTAATAACTTGTCAATGTAATGACTTGTCAATGTAATGACTTGTCAACGTTATGACTTGTCAACGTTATGACTTGTCAACGTAATGACTTGTCAACGTAATAACTTGTCAATGTAATGACTTGTCAACGTAATGACTTGTCAACGTAATAACTTGTCAATGTAATGACTTGTCAATGTAATGACTTGTCAACGTTATGACTTGTCAACGTAATAACTTGTCAACGTAATAACTTGTCAATGTAATGACTTGTCAATGTAATGACTTGTCAACGTAATGACTTGTCAACGTTATGACTTGTCAACGTAATGACTTGTCAACGTTATGACTTGTCAACGTAATGACTTGTCAACGTTATGACTTGTCAACGTAATGACTTGTCAACGTAATGAATTGTCAACGTTATGACTTGTCAACGTTATGACTTGTCAACGTTATGACTTGTCAACGTTATGACTTGTCAACGTAATGACTTGTCAACGTAATGACTTGTCAATGTAATGACTTGTCAACGTTATGACTTGTCAACGTAATGACTTGTCAACGTAATAACTTGTCAACGTAATGACTTGTCAACGTAATTACTTGTCAACGTAATAACTTGTCAACGTAATGACTTGTCAATTAATGACTTGTCAACGTAATAACTTGTCAATGTAATAACTTGTCAATGTAATAACTTGTCAATGTAATGACTTGTCAATGTAATAACTTGTCAATGTAATGACTTGTCAACGTAATGACTTGTCAACGTTATGACTTGTCAACGTAATGACTTGTCAACGTAATGACTTGTCAACGTGATGACGTGTCAACGTAATGACTTGTCAACGTTATAACTTGTCAATGTAATGACTTGTCAACGTTATAACTTGTCAACGTAATGACTTGTCAACGTAATGACTTGTCAACGTAATGACTTGTCAACGTTATGACCGGTCAACGTTATGACTTGTCAACGTAATAACTTGTCAATGTAATGACTTGTCAATGTAATAACTTGTCAATGTAATGACTTGTCAATGTAATAACTTGTCAACGTAATGACTTGTCAACGTTATGACTTGTCAACGTTATGACTTGTCAACGTAATAACTTGTCAATGTAATGACTTGTCAATGTAATGACTTGTCAACGTAATAACTTGTCAACTTAATGACTTGTCAATGTAATGACTTGTCAACGTAATGACTTGTCAACGTAATGACTTGTCAACGTAATGACTTGTCAATGTAATAACTTGTCAACGTAATGACTTGTCAACGTAATGACTTGTCAACGTAATGACTTGTCAACGTAGTGACTTGTCAACGTAATGACTTGTCAACGTAATAACTTGATGTTAACGTGAACGATGTAAGTTATCTTATTTCAGAATCGTTCAAGCGAGACATTTTAGACGTCGGTAAGGCATCGTCTCCTTAAAGTTTAAAATCGCGATTTAAAGAAAAAAATGTTTAAAAATTTGTTTTACCTCAGAAAGTGTTAAAAATTTTAACGAATAACTTTTATCGAATAATCTGCCACACCCAGGACGACGGAGGCTTTTAAACTTGATACAAAAAACTTAATAAACGTTTGACGTTTTAACATTAACGCGATTTAAAACTTCGTAGCGCCTGCAGTCTTGAACGGCCAATTGCGATACCTTTTTTTACCTCAGGGATTTGTCGTTATGGTTGTTGTTATTGTTGTTTATTATTGTTATGGTTGTTGTTATGGTTGTTGTTATGGTTGTTATTGTTGTTATGGTTGTTGTTATTGTTGTTTATTATTGTTATGGTTGTTGTTATGGTTGTTGTTATGGTTGTTTGTTATTGTTATGGTTGTTGTTATGGTTGTTGTTGTTATTGTTGTTGTTATTGTTGTTTATTATTGTTATGGTTGTTGTTATGGTTGTTGTTATGGTTGTTTATTATTGTTATGGTTGTTGTTATGGTTGTTGTTATGGTTGTTTATTATTGTTATGGTTGTTGTTATTGTTGTTTATTATTGTTATGGTTGTTGTTATGGTTGTTGTTATGGTTGTTCTTATTGTTGTTTATTATTGTTATGATTGTTGTTATGGTTGTTATTGTTGTTTATTATTGTTATGGTTGTTGTTATGGTTGTTGTTATTGTTGTTTATTATTGTTATGGTTGTTATTGTTGTTGTTATGGTTGTTGTTATGGTTGTTGTTATTGTTGTTTATTATTGTTATGGTTGTTGTTATGGTTGTTATTGTTTATTATTGTTATGGTTGTTATGGTTGTTGTTATGGTTGTTGTTTATTATTGTTATGGTTGTTGTTATGGTTGTTGTTATGGTTGTTGTTATTGTTGTTTATTATTGTTATGGTTGTTATTGTTGTGTATTATTGTTATGGTTGTTGTTATGGTTGTTGTTATGGTTGTCGTTATGGTTGTTATTGTTGTTTATTATTGTTATGGTTGTTATGGTTGTTGTTATGGTTGTTATTGTTGTTTATTATTGTTATGGTTGTTGTTATGGTTGTTGTTATGGTTGTCGTTATGGTTGTTATTGTTGTTATGGTTGTTATTGTTGTTATTGTCTTTGTTATTGTCGTTGTTATTGTTGTTGGTATTGTTATGGTTGTTGGTATTGTTATGGTTGTTGTTAAGGTTGTTATTGTTGTCGTTATGGTTGTTATTGTTGTTGTTGTGGTTTGTTGTTATTATTGTTATTGTTATTATTGTTTATACCCGAATGAAAATCCTACGCTTGACAGCGTCTCATTGTTCGACAATTAACACCCCCCCCCCAATTAGTCACCAATTCGCCTGTCAATCAACAATCAGTCTGTCACCAATGTAGTGTCTGAGTGAATCTTACTGCCTCTGTCTAACCGGTGTCTGCGGGGACTGCGTTGCGTGGATTGCGTGGATTGCGTGGGTTGCGTGGGTTGCGTGGATTGCGTGGGTTGCGTGGATTGCGTGGGTTGCGTGGGTTGCGTGCACAGGCTACGGCCGAGCTTAAGGTTGCCTTTCGGAGCCCCGCGATCATCGCTGCCCTCTGCTCCGTGCTGACCGGCTCGCAGAATCCCCAGGTAACCACTGGCACCCCCTCGGCCAGTATAGTCAACAACCACAACGAGTTTAGTCAACAACCACAACAACAAGTTTAGTCAACCACAACTAGCAGCAAACACAGGGCGGTTGGGAGCACAACGCCATTACCTCTCTCCTGCTCACTCCCTCCCCCCCCCCACACGCCACCTGTGAGGGGGGCCCCGGTGTAACGCGGTGATTCCTGTCGTGCCGGCGGTGCCTCAGGTCCGGCAACTGGCTGCGGTGTTGCTGAGGAGGCGTGCTGGCAGGCAGTGGAAGAGACTCACGGACGACACCAAGATCAGGTGAAGCCCCCAAGGCTCTTCTGTCTCATCGCTCTCTGGACGCCACCGCTACCGCTACCGCCACTCCACCACCTCCACCACCATCACTGTCACTCCATTACCGCCTCCACAACCACCACCACCACCTCCACCATCACTGTCACTCCATTACCGCCTCCACAACCACCACCACCACCTCCACCATCACTGTCACTCCATTACCGCCTCCACAACCACCACCACCACCACCACCACCAGCTCCACCACCGCCACCACCACCTCCACCATCACTGTCACTCCATTTTACCGCCTCCACAACCGCCACCGCCACCATCACCCCCACCACTGCCACCACCTCCACCGCCACCACCACCACCTCCACCACCACCATCACTGTCACTCCATTACCGCCTCCACAACCACCACCGCCACCACCACCTCCACGACCACCTTCACTGTCACTCCATTACCGCCTCCACAACCGCCTCCACCACCTCCACTACCGCCTCCACCACCACCGCCTCCACCACCCCCACCGCCTCCACCACCTCCACTACCGCCACCGCCTCCACTACCACCGCCTCCACCACCCCCACCGCCTCCACCACCTCCACTACCGCCACCGCCTCCACCACCACCGCCTCCACCACCCCCACCGCCTCCACAACCACCACCGCCACCACCACCGCCACTATCACCACCACCTCCACTACTGCCTCCACCACCCCCACCGCCTCCACAACCGCCACCACCACCACTGCCTCCACCACCCCCACCGCCTCCACCACCTCCACTACCGCCTCCACCACCACCGCCTCCACCACCGCCTCCACCACCGCCACCACCATCGCCACCATCACCCCCACGACCGCCTCCACCGCCTCCACCACCACTATCACCCCCACCACCTCCACCATCACCACCTCCTTCCACTACCACCAACGTCACCGATTTATCTGAACCGGTCCCGACGCCTCTCTAGCGAATGAGCACCTGGGGGTGCGATGTGCAGTCAGCGTCACCACTGGGGGCAGGGGAGGGTGAGTGCGACACTGACCCCTACCCCCCCTCACCCCCACCCCCCCCCCCCCCCGTGTCTCTGTCGGCAGCCTGAAGCCCATCATTCTCCAGATCCTGCGTGATGAGGCCGAGTGAGTCCACCACCACACCACCTGGCCTCACTCCCTCCCTCCACTCCCTCCACTCACTCCCTCCACTCCCTCCACTCCCTCCCTCCACTCCCATCCACTCCCTCCACTCCCTCCACTCCCTCCCTCCACTCCCATCCACTCCCTCCACTCCCCTCCACTCCCTCCCTCCACTTTCTCCATCCACTCCCCTCCACTCTCTCCACTCCCTCCCCTCCACTCCCTCCACTCCCTCCACTCTCTCCCCTCCACTCCCCTCCACTCACTCCACTTCCTCCCTCCACTCCCTCCCTCCACTCCCTCCACTCCCTCCCTCCACTCCCTCCCTCCACTCCCTCCCTCCACTCCCCTCCACTCCCCTCCACTCCCTCCACTCCCTCCACTCCCCTCCACTCCCTCCACTTCCTCCACTCCCTCCACTCTCTCCACTCCCCTCCACTCCCCTCCACTTCCTCCCTCCACTCCCCTCCACTCCCTCCACTCTCTCCACTCCCCTCCACTCCCCTCCACTTCCTCCCTCCACTCCCCTCCACTCCCTCCACTCTCTCCACTCCCTCCACTCTCTCCACTTCCTCCCTCCACTCCCCTCCACTCCCTCCACTCCCTCCCCTCCACTCCCTCCACTTCCTCCCTCCACTCCCCTCCACTCTCTCCACTCCCCTCCACTCCCTCCACTCCCTCCACTCCCTCCACTCCCTCCCTCCACTCCCCTCCACTCACTCCACTCTCTCCACTCCCCTCCCCTCCACTCCCTCCCCCTCCACTCCCTCCCCTCCACTCTCTCCACTTCCTCCCTCCACTCCCCTCCACTCCCTCCACTCCCTCCCCTCCACTCCCCTCCACTCACTCCACTCTCTCCACTCCCCTCCCCTCCACTCCCTCCCCTCCACTCACTCCACTTCCTCCCTCCACTCCCCTCCACTCCCTCCCTCCACTCCCTCCACTCTCTCCACTCCCTCCCCTCCACTTCCCTCCACTCACTCCACTTCCTCCCTCCACTCCACTCCCTCCACTCCCTCCACTCCCCTCCACTCTCTCCACTCCCTCCCTCCACTCCCCTCCCCTCCACTCCCCTCCACTCCCCTCCACTCCCTCCACTCCCCTCCACTCTCTCCACTCCCTCCACTCCCCTCCACTCCCCTCCACTGCCCTCCCCTCCACTCCCCTCCACTCCCCTCCACTGCCCTCCACTCCACTCCCCTCCACTCCCCTCCACTCTCTCCACTCCCTCCACTCCCTCCACTCCCTCCCTCCACTCCCCTCCACTCCACTCCCTCCACTCCCCTCCACTCCACTCCCCTCCACTCCACTCCCCTCCACTCCCTCCACTCCCTCCACTCCCTCCCTCCACTCCCCTCCACTCCCCTCCACTCCACTCCCTCCACTCCCTCTGACATACGCTGCACATGCCGTCCCTTATGTTCGACTGATTTGACCCGTGCGACCTGCGCGACCTGACAAAACAACCGATCCTCAGGCCGACGCTCAGGCTCGCCATGCATCTGTAGCGACGTGAACGGTGTCCCGAGGGCGTTCGCTGCAGCCACCCTTAGGGGGTGGGTGCGGACACAGTCCTGGCGATGGCCTGGCCTGAGAGAGAGGTGGAGGGAGGAAGCCGTAGCCTGAGTGGGGCAAGTGATGCTCGGTCCCGGATCCTTCGGCAAAGGTCTCGAAGGGGGCGTGGCCGAAAGGCTGAGCGTGGGGACACGCTCAGGACAGGGGCGTGCGGTCAGGGGGCGGGGGGGGGGGGGGCAAGGCCCCTCACCTTGTCATAACTCCAATGAAAAATAGCTGTTACGAAAAAAATGAAATGGTAAGATTTTTTTTTTTTCCCACGTGATCTGTGTTGTGGATGTCATTGCTGTAACGATTCCAATCATTTTCACGGTCAGGATCGCCAAATTTGCGGAGCTCCGCTGCAAATACAGGAAGAGACGAGAGGTGAGGCGGCGACGAGCTCAGCCTCCCCTCTGATTGCGCAACCCCTCAGTAATTGAAAGGAGCGCGGGCAATAACCCACGTGCCTCTTACTATCTCAGTATGTCACCAATGTAATGTTTGGTAGACCCCTTCATTTCATGTCCTCGCCTTCCATACTCCAGGTAACTTATTTCACGAATTGTGTACGAAGACATTTAGGCTCGCTGGTCTCGTCGTGAAACTTGCAATGGAAAAGCACCAGGGGAGGCGGCTTTCACATCTGCCTCACCGAGGGGGACGTGTCTAACACTCCCCTCTCCGTGAGGCCACTCCCCTCTCTCAGCGAGGCCACGCCCTCTCCGTGAGGCCACTCCCCTCTCAGTGAGGACACGCCCCCTCAGCGAGGCCACGCCCCCCGTGAGGCCACTCCCCTCTCAGTGAGGCCACGCCCCCCTCAGTGTGTGAATCTGGCTCCGACACTAGCCCACACATGGGCAAAGCACGGCCCGTTGAGCTTTTTCATCCTTCCCGCCGAACTTGTCCAAATATTATTAAATTAAATTTTACCTTTCTCCTGTAATGCCCCCATTTAGATGGCGCACTTTGACCGGGAGTGTGGTGCAATTTGTTAAATTGCCGTGCAAATAAATGCTTTGCTACCTTCTTTGGTTCTTTCGGTAAAGTCACGTAGAATGATAATAAAATAATAAATTGATAAAATAAAATAACACAATAATAATATTCTCACTTATTCTCACTTATTATTTTATTATCATTCTACGTGACTTTACCGAAAGAACCAAAGAAGATGAATCTTTGCTACCTGTTTAAAGGCCAAATCCTTTCATGTAATGATTTTTGTTCACGTCACACGAACGCTCCATCCATCTGTTATCCTTGGTCCCGGCCCCTCTCGTCGAATTTTAGAACCCCATTGTGGCACGCGGGTCAAACAAAAAAAAACAAATTTGCCCCCCTACCCCTGCACTGTCCAGTGCCTCCCCCCAGCCACCGACCTCGCCGCACGCCAACCGTCTCTCGGGAGGATCAAGGGGCCACAGATCACGTGGACGTCTCCTCGGCACGGCGTCGCGGGTCAGGCAGACCTCGCCGCCCTGACCTGCTTGCCCAGACAGACTTCGGCTGACCGTGTTGCGCGTTTGCGTGGCGGAGCCCGTCGCACGTGGGGGGGGTCTGGCTTGGCTTACGTCGTAAGCCGATGAGGGAGTTACCCTGTCGCGCTCGTGATAAAGATAGCGCCTCCGTGTGAACGCCACGGCACACGACCGACCATGGGGCTTGGCTGGCTAGGCCGGCGGTGGGGGATGCTTGTTCCGCCGAGGGCCATTTGGATATTTACTCGACGTCACTCGCGGGCCGTGCGGAATGATCGGCTAACGGAAAAAGCTCGCCCGTTACGTTTGGTCAAGCATCTGATGAACTCGCCCCCGAACGCGATGGGCTAGAACTGCTTCTCTTTGGCGAGGCGCGTGGTGATGATGATGTTAGCCGGCTGTCGACGCTGGCGCTGCTTAGCCGCAACTGCTTCTCCGGGTTTGCCCCCCTTAGATTTATTGAATTTCGAGTCTCGCCTGCGGTTGCCTTGGCAGGGCCAAACGCAAATGTGTGTGTCTGTGCGTGTGTCTGCGCGTGTGTGTGTGTCTGTGCGTGTGTGTGTGTGTGTCTGTGCGTGTGTGTGTGTGTGTCTGTGCGTGTGTGTGTGTGTGTCTGTGCGTGTGTGTGTGTGTGTCTGTGCGTGTGTGTGTGTGTGTGTCTGTGCGTGTGTGTGTGTGTGTGTCTGTGCGTGTGTGTGTGTCTGTGCGTGTGTGTGTGTGTGTGTCTGTGCGTGTGTGTGTGTCTGTGCGTGTGTGTGTGTCTGTGTATTGACCTGGTCAAGGCCTATGATACCATCAGTAGGCCTGGGCTCTGGGTTGTTCTTCGTGCTTTTTGGAGTGCCTGACCCTCTGCTCACGATCATTAAGGCCCTTCATGATGGTGAGCGGGCCCGGGTAAAACTACATGGCCGGGAGTCGGAGCCATTCCCTGTACACCTTGGGGTGCGACAGGGAATGTCCTCTGGCTCCCACATTATTTAACATCTATTTTGACCACGCGCCCGTTACGTTTGGTCAAGCATCTGATGAACTCGCCCCCGAACGCGATGGGCTGGAAATGCTTCTCTTTGGCGAGGCGCGTGGTGATGATGATGTTAGCCGGCTGTCGACGCTGGCGCTGCTTAGCCGCAACTGCTTCTCCGGGTTTGCCCCCCTTAGATTTTATTGAATTTCGAGTCTCGCCTGCGGTTGCCTTGGCAGGGCCAAACGCAAATGATTCCGCGCGCCTCGCCCGGCCCTCTGACTAGGCCAGCGTGGCCCTGACCGGTCAAATGGCCGACCCTCCGTCCGACCGCCAGGCCCGACCGACCGACCGACCGACCGACCGACGCCTCGGTCAAGCGCGCCGCCAACTCTGCCCTCGTCACGGCTGTCTCTCGCCGTACCCGCGCCCCCGCCCCCGCAGACACACGGTGCGCCGATCGGCAGCCCACCTGGCCGCGGACGTGAGCCGGCACGAGGGGGCGACCGGCAAGCGCTGGCCGGAGCTGCTGCACTTCCTCACGCACGCCACGCGCTCGCACAGCCCTGAGGAGCGCGAGGTGCACGCCGCTCTGACGACGCTCTGACGCCGCCACGGCCGCCGCCACCACTGCCGCCACCACTACCACGGCCGCCACCATGACCACAACTACCACCACAACTACCACCACGACCACAACTACCACCACAACTACCACCACGACCACAACTACCACCACAACTACCACCACGACTACCACCACGACCACAACTACCACCACGACTACCACCACGACTACCACCACGACTACCACCACGACTACCACCACGACTACCACCACGACTACCACCACGACTACCACCACGACCACAACTACCACCACAACTACCACCACAACTACCACCACAACTACACCACGACTACCACGACCGCCACAAACTGCCATGACCGCCACCCACTGCCACCACAACTGCTACACGACCACCCACAACTGCCACCGCAACTGCCACGACCGCCACCGAAACACCACCACGACCCCTCGTGTGGTCTCCCCCTCCCACCTGACCCCTGACCCCCTGACCCCCTGACCCGTGTGTCTCCCCTCCCCTCCCCACCGTGTGTTCCCCCCCCCACCACCCCCATGTGTCTCCCTCCCACCCCCCCCCACAGGTGGGCATGCTGGTGCTGAGCGTGGTGCTGGACAGGGCCCCGCAGTGCATGCGGCCGCAGCACCGCGACCTTCTGCGCCTGCTGCAGGCGACGCTGGCCGACGGCGCCTCGGCGCTGGTGCCGCACTACTCCGCCCGCTGCCTCCGTGCCGTCATCCCCCTGGTCGGCTCGGACGAGATGGTGCGTGGCGCTGGAGCGCAGATGCCCCGTGTCTGTGTGTGTCTGTGTGTGTCTGTGTGTGTGTGTATGTCTGTGTGTGTCTGTGTGTGTGTGTGTGTCTGTGTGTCTGTGTGTGTGTGTCTGTGTGTGTGTGTCTGTGTGTGTGTGTCTGTGTGTGTGTCTGTGTGTGTCTGTGTGTGTCTGTGTGTCTGTGTGTGTGTGTCTGTGTGTGTGTGTGTGTCTGTGTGTGTGTGTGTGTGTGTGTGTCTGTGTGTGTGTGTGTCTGTGTGTGTGTGTGTCTGTGTGTGTGTGTGTCTGTGTGTGTGTGTGTGTCTGTGTGTGTGTGTGTGTCTGTGGTGTGTGTGTGTCTGTGTGTGTGTGTGTGTGTCTGTGGTCTGTGTGTGTGTCTGTGTGTGTGTCTGTGTGTCTATGCGTGTGTCTGTGTGTCTATGCGTGTGTCTGTGCGTGTGTCTGTGCGTGTGTCTGTGCGTGTGTGTGTCTGTGCGTGTGTCTGTGTGTGCGCGTGGGTCTGCGCGTGTCTGTGTGTCTGCGCGTGTGTGTGTCTGCGCGTGTGTGTGTGTGTCTGCGCGTGTGTGTGTGTGTGTCTGTGCGTGTGCGTGTGTCTGTGCGTGTGTCTGTGTGTGTGCGCATGGGTCTGTGTGTGTGTGTCTGCACGTGTGTCTGCGCGTGTGTCTGCGCGTGTCTGTGTGTCTGCGCGTGTGTGTGTTGTCTGCGCGTGTGTGTGTGTGTCTGCGCGTGTGTGTGTGTGGTGTGTCTTGTGCGTGTGTGTGTGTCTGTGCGGTGGTGTGTGTGTCCTGTGTATTGACCTGGTCAAAGCCTATGACTATGATACCATCAGTAGGCCCTGGGCTCTGGTTTGTTCTTCGTGCTTTTGGAGTCCCTGACCCTCTGCTCACGATCATTAAGGACCTTCATGATGGTGAGCGGACCCGGGTAAAACTTCGTGGCCGGGAGTCAGAGCCATTCCCTGTACACCTTGGGGTGCGACAGGGATTGTCCCTCTGGCTCCCACATTATTTAACATCTATTTTGACCACGTAGTTCGTGAAGCCTTCAATAGCTGTACCGGGGGAATCTCCATTTGGTACAGATATAATGTGGAGGCTGATCAATGCCCGGGTGCGGTCAAGGGATGGCTCCCTATTGCTCAACCACTTTATGTATGCCGATGATTGGTAATAGCTGCTCATTCAGAGGAGGAGTTGGAGACGCTGCTGCTGAGACTGGAGCGTGCCACTAAGAGATGGGGCCTTACCATCAGCCCCACCAAAACTAAGCACCTGCCTGGGTATTTTGATGCATCGGACACTCCACCCCACAACTCCCAATCGGTAATGGGGCAGTTGTGGAGAGAGTGGAGAGTTTCCCATACCTGGGCAGTGTGCTTATGACTGGCTCCAGTTTAACAGCAGAGGTCTCACTCCGAATCAGTCGAGCGCAATATCTTTTCATCGGTTGCGTAACGCTGTGTGGAAGCCTACCTGTTCTGTCGCTCCGCACTAAGCTTCAGGTCTTCTCGGCCACGGTCATTCCCTCCCTTCTCTACGCTTGCGAAACGTGGACCCCCCTAATGGAACATCTTCGCGGTTAGAAACATTTAGGCTAGCCTGCCTTCGATCCATCCTGGGTTTAACCAGGCTGATTGTGTGAGGAGCTCACAAATCTTGAAAGATCTGGGCAAGGTCCCATCGGTGAGCTCCTCCGGCAGGCAAGGCTGCGATGGCTGGGTCATGTAGCCTGCATGCCAGCCACAGCATGCCGAAACAGCTTTTGTTCGGCCGGATCGAGGGGCTAAACGGGCGCGGCACGGGCATAGAGAAGAGATGGAGTGATGTGGTACAGGAGGACATGGAGCTGAGTGGACTTGCCGATGACTGAGTACCAGCGGTGTCAAGATCGGCCTCTGTGGGAGGAGGCTCGTGAAGGACGCTACTGGGCAGTTGGAGGCAGGACGGAGGAGCGACGCTCACAACAATGAGTGGAGCGCCGGGTGGCTAAAGCACAGCAGGTTGGCACAGTAGGGGGCACAGTTGGTGCACCAGCCAGTCATCTCAGTCAGTCGACCCGTGGCACCTGGGTCTGCCCCGTGACCTCCTGACAGCGGGCGTTCGACACTTCACGTGGCCTCAAGGTGCACATGGCCTGGCACAAACGTCGTAGTGACGTCACCGCCACTTAGTGGCGAATGGCGGTTGTTGTTGTGTGTGTGGTGGAGTGTGTGTGTGTCTGTGCGTGTTTGTGCGTGTTTGTACGGGGATCTTTTTGTGTGCCTGTGTGTGACTGTGTGTGTGTGACTGTCTGTGTGTGTAGCGGTCAGCGCGCTGCGCTATGAACCTGGCGACCCGGGTTCGATTCCCGCTCACGGCCAACACCAGTGACGATTATCTGAACCGGTCCCGGGCCTCCCCTAGGTCGACTCAGCCTCAAATGAGTACCTGGTGCGGTGTGTAAACATCGCCACTAGGGAGACAAAGGCGGCCAGTGCGTGGTGTTGGCCACCCACCCCCTCGTGTACCGTTCCGGCCTTCATAGGTGCTCGCTAAGGCTACACGGGGGATCTTTGTCTTTGTATCAGCGTCGACCAGTCGGTTTCAAAGACGGATGCCATCATCGTCAAAAACTACGAGAGCATCTTGTATTATGTACAAGTTCACCACAAGTTTACGTGCTTAATCGTTAACACGACCGCTTTATTGCCACAAAGGGTGAAACCTGTTCCCGCTGGTCAGGGGAGGTCTCACGGTCACAGCAACAAGCGGTTCAAAATAAACGAGTTTCGTCAGCGCTAGGCGATGATGACGGTCCGCCAGAAGCTGCTGCTGCCGCTGTGAAGATGGCGAGAGGGGAGTCCACGTGGCTAACGGGTTGCGTGACCTTTCCAGAATGCCGTGCGTGCCCTGGTGCCCCGAGTGATGGAGGCGGTGGTGCGGCTCGTGGCGATCGACGAGGTGGGACGACAGTGGCTCGCCGGAGCGTCGCAGCCAGCCCCAGCCAGCCCCAGCCAGCCCCAGCCAGTCCCAGCCACTCCCAGCCAGTCCCAGCCAGCCCCAGCCACTCTCAGCCACTCTCAGCCCCAGCCACTCCCAGCCACTCCCAGCCACTCTCAGCCACTCCCAGCCAGTCCCAGCCAGTCCCAGCCACTCCCAGCCAGTCCCAGCCACTCCCAGCCAGTCCAGCCAGCCCCCAGCCACTCTCAGCCACTCTCAGCCCAGCCACTCCCAGCCACTCCCAGCCAGCCCAGCCACTCCCAGCCACTCCCAGCCACTCTCAGCCAGTCCCAGCCACTCCCAGCCACTCCCAGCCACTCCCAGCCAGTCCCAGCCAGCCCCAGCCAGCCCCAGCCACTCCCAGCCAGTCCCAGCCACTCCCAGCCACTCCCAGCCACCCCCAGACAGCCCCAGCCACTCCCAGCCAGCCCCAGCCAGCCCACCCCCAGCCAGCCCCAGCCAGCCCCAGCCACTCCCAGCCAGTCCCAGCCACCCCCAGCCAGTCCCAGCCAGCCCCAGCCAGTCCCCAGCCACTCCCAGCCAGCCCCAGCCAGCCCCAGCCAGCCCCAGCCACTCTCAGCCACTCTCAGCCACTCTCAGCCCCAGCCACTCCCAGCCACTCCAGCCAGCCCCAGCCAGCCCCAGCCAGCCCCAGCCACTCTCAGCCACTCTCAGCCCCAGCCACTCCCAGCCACTCCCAGCCAGCCCCAGCCACTCCCAGCCACTCCCAGCCACTCCCAGCCAGTCCCAGCCAACCCCAGCCAGTCCCAGCCACTCTCAGCCACCTCCAGCCCCAGCCACTCCCAGCCAGCCCCAGCCAGTCCCAGCAATCCCAGACATCCCAGACAGCCCCAGCCACTCCCAGCCAGCCCCAGCCACTCCCAGCCAGCCCTAGCCAGCCCCACCCCCAGCCAGCCCCAGCCAGCCCCAGCCACTCCCAGCCAGTCCCAGCCACTCCCAGCCAGGTCCCAGCCACTCCCAGCCACTCCCAGCCACCCCAGACAGCCCCAGCCAGCCCCAGCCAGCCCCAGCCAGCCCCCACCCCCAGCCAGCCCCAGCCACTCCCAGCCAGCCCCAGCCAGTCCCAGCCACTCCCAGCCACCCCCAGACAGCCCCAGCCACTCCCAGCCAGCCCCAGCCAGCCCCAGCCAGCCCCAGCCTCTCCCAGCCACTCCCAGCCACTCCCAGCCACTCCCAGCCAGCCCCAGCCACTCCCAGCCCCACCCCCAGCCAGCCCCAGCCACTCCAGCCACTCCCAGCCACCCCCAGCCAGCCCCAGCCAGCCCCAGCCACTCCCAGCCCACCCCCAGCCACTACCAAGCCAGCCCCCCAGCCACTCCCAGCCACTCCCAGCCAGTCCCAGCCACTCCCAGCCAGCCCCAGCCAGTCCCCAGCCACTCCCAGCCAGCCCAGCCACTCCCAGCCACTCCCAGCCAGCCCCAGCACTCCCAGCCAGGCCCAGCCAGCCCCAGCCAGCCCCAGCCACTCCCAGCCAGCCCCAGCACTCCCAGCCACCCCAGCCAGCCCTAGCCACCTCACCCACCACACCACACCCACCTCACCCCACCCACCTCACCCTCCCACCTCACCCCCACTCATCCAGCCACCCAGCCACCCCACCAGGCAGGAATCCACCCAGGTCAGCCAGCCAGGCAGGAATCCAGCCAGGTCATCTCCAGTACGATGGGGGATGATGTTTTTTGTCGTTTGCTTGCGCAGGACAAGGCGTGCGAGGCGATGGAGGTGTTTGAGGAGATGATTGAGAGCGAGGTGTCCATCCTGGCGTCCAACATCGCTGACCTCGTCCGCTTCTCGCTGCAGGTGAAGGCTCACAGGAAGTGCTGCCCCTCCCCCGACCTCCTGCCGCCCACACAGGAAGTGCTGCCCCAACCCCCACAGGAAGTGCTGCCCCAACCCCCACGGAAGTGCTGCCCCAACCCCCACAGGAAGTGCTGCCCCTCCCCCCACCTCCTGCCGCCCACACAGGATGTGCTGCCCCAACCCCCACAGGAAGTGCTGCCCCCCCCCCCCCCCCCACAGGAAGTGCTGCCCCCCCTACATCTACATAACGTGAAGAACCAGTGGCATCTACATCTACAGAACGTAAAGAACAGTGGCATCTACATCTACAGAACGTGAAGAACCAGTGGCATCTACATCTACAGAACGTGAAGAACCAGTGGCATCTACGTCTGCAGGACGTGAAGAACCAGTGGCGTCTACATCTACAGATCGTGAAGAACCAGTGGCATCTACAGAAGGTGAAGAACCAGTGGCATCTACATCTGTATAACGTGAAGAACGAGTGCATCTACATCTACAGAACGTGAAGAACCAGGGGCATCTGCATCTACAGAACGTGAAGAACCAGTGCATCTACATCTACAGAATGTGAAGAACCAGTGGCATCTACATCTGTAGAACGTGAAGAACCAGTGGCATCTACATCTACAGAACGTGAAGAACCAGTGGCATCTACAGAACGTGAAGAACCAGTGGCATCTGCATCTACAGAACGT